TCCGCATATGTCAATGAAATATATATATTCTGGTAATATTATAGATAGTATATGATATTCTGATATAATGTGAACTCAGGTCTGCTTAATCTTCACATAATTAGCTAAAGCTCTGTTTCATTCTGTGGTAGTCAACAGTGCAATAACGTACCAAAGATAAAAGCTTCTTAATGTCATTTGCTCATAGCAACACAATGAAGAATGAAATTAAAACTGTTTTATTTTATTTTTTAAATAAGATGTTCATTCTTTTGAATATCAGACAAAAGTAGAGATCAAATGAAAGAGAGACAAGATACATAAACCAAACTCATTACAAGAAAGGGTATAAATTAATTAGACTGGAAAGTATTTTGGTTTTGCAGCCATCTTCCTTTATAATCTCAAAAAACATCTAAACTAGTAAATGTTAAACGTGTGCCGAAACTAACGTACATGTATCAACTTGTCTATGCTTTCAAATGGAATAATTTAAACAGAACATGGCAAGGGAATTAGAAAAATAAAGAAACAACCACACCTATCCTTGTAAAGCATGTAAAACTGAATAACATGAAAGAGCATGAGTGAGTGAAAGAAAATGGTATGTGCGTGTGTATAAGCTACTTAAGGTGGTGATATTAAATGAATGTATCACTAACACAGGGTGGATGAGGTGGACCTGGTCAGCTTCCTCTTTCCATGACAGAATAAGATCTGATCAACGCAATAATTAAACAAGCGTTTCATCTGTTAATTGCCCTGTTATTGTCAGAGTTTTAACATTTCGTGAATGCAAGCCATAATGCTGAGATTTTACAGGAAAAATCCTTATGAAATTAAACTGCTAAAGTTTCAAGATTTTAATGTGGGGTGCCGTCAGGATAAAGACATTCTAAATGAATACTTCTGGGATTATAATTTTATCCAAAATGTACTCTACACATTGTAGAAATCACAAAGGGTCTTCTTTTGTGGTTTCTGTAGCCACCAAACCAGAACATCATAACAAAATTCTATGGAACTTGAAATTGATCTCAGCATGTCTTTACCAAGGTAAAAACATCAACTAGGGACTGAGATACCTAATTCCAGATTCAAAGTTTTGCCCTAGTAATGCAAGGCAATTTTTTTTTTTTTTTCAAGCCGGGCACATATTTGCAGATTATTTTTGAGCATTATAAAGTGAATGGAAAAAAAAAATGACCAAATGTAAGCAATCTGGGAGTAATATGCAAAGTGAAATACGTGAGATTATTTTAAATATCCTTCTACTCTCTATCAATAAGTAAATACTTATTTTTGGAATTTGAAAACAGCTTTCCATAGTATAACAATTCTATGTATATTCTAGCACATATAGTGAGACTTGGGAGTGTTCCAACATCAAGCAGAGAACGCCAACCATGTCCTGACAGAAATCAAAATCATCCCACCTTCCCACCATCTCTTCTCCTCTGTGTCCCGATTTCCACTGGACGGGAACTTGTGCACGCGGACAGCCCTTTGTATGCCAATATGCTGATACCTGTATCTCTGGGCAAGCACAGGGCCAAGAGTGCAGGAAGCACCATGGACGACACCCAAGCTCACCAGTTAAACGCAGCCATAAGGGTTATCGATGCCTGCAGAATTGGTTGAGGAGCTTTACTGAACAACACAGAGAATGTGCTGTTATATATTACTAAAATTATGCCAAGCGTAAAAATGTTTCTTCTTTCTTCAATTGCCATTAGAAGTTTCAGTTGGGGTTAGTTTCTTTTGTGTCATATGGTATACAGAAAGTAACAGTCTATCTCCAGTCAATATTCTGAGAACTTAAACAGAAAGAACTGTTACAGTATCTGATCTTTTCACCTTTTTTTACATCATAGGTCAACTCCTCTACCGGTAGGCCCAGCAACTTGCACTTGATTAATACTTAAGCATCCTTTTGGTCTTAAGAAGTAATCATTCTGAAAAGTCTATGGTCTTGGTTTAAGATCTTCAGAAGCATGAGTCTCCAACTCCCCCACCCCTTTTTTTTTAACATGCTGAACTTTAAAAATCTCTCATAGTGTAGAGTATCTACCAGTTTTCAAAAAATAATTGAAGCTTTTTACTGTTGCCTTTAAATTCTTTACCATAAGAATCAGGTGCTTTGTTCTGGTACTGTTCTCACCAGTATTGGATACAGATGTAAGCCTTCTGCTTTTTTCCCCAGTCTCTGTATATCTGAGGGTCATATTAACTATGCTTTGTTGACTCCTTGCACTGGAAACTTGTGTTCACTTGCTGCTTCTGGTGTAATTCCTCCACTACGACATGAAAAAGGCCAAGGTACTCAACACCTTCTTTGCCATCATCAATGGCTGGTAAGACCAGCCTTCAGCAATCCCACATCCCTGAGACCAGAAGGAAAGTCTGGGGCCAGGAAGGCTTACCCTCAGTGGAGAAGGATCAGGTCAGGGAACATTTAAACACACTGAACATACACATATCCGTGGGACTGAGTGCTGAGAGAGCTAGCTGATGACACTGCAAAGCCACTCTCGATTATCTTTGAAAAGTTGTGGCTATTGCAGGAGGTTCCTGAGGCTTGGAAGAAAGCAAATGTCACTCCTATCTTCAAGAAGGCCAAGAAGGAGGATCCAGGGAACTACAGGCTGGTCAGACTCACCTCAATCCCAGGGAAGGTGATTGACGATGTAATCCTGGAAGCCATTTCCTAACATATTAAGGATAAGAAGGTGACTGGGAGTAGTTAGCATGGATTTATGAGAGACATCCTGTCTGACCAACCTGATGAAGTCACTAGCTTGCTGGACAAGGGGAAAAAACAGCAGATGTTGTTTGCTTCGACTTTCGCAAGGCTTTGACACTGTTTCCCATAACATCCTCAGACAAAATATTGAAGTATGGGCTAGATAAGTGGGCAGTGAGGTAAACTGAAAACTGGCTCAACTGCTGGGCTCAAAGGGTTGCAACCAGATGCACGAAGTCTAGCTGGAGGCCAGGCACTACTGGAGTATCTCAGGGGTCGACACTGGGTCTGATACTGCTAAGCATCCTCATTACTGACCTGAGTGGTGGGACAGAGTGTGTATCCTCAGAAAGTTTGCAGATGACACAAAACTGGGAGGAGTAGCTGATACACAAGAGGGTCATGCTGCCATCCAGAGGGACCTTACAGGCTGGAGAAATGGATCAAGGGGCAAAGAGTCCAGCAAAGGGCCACAAAGTTGATTAATGGCTGGGAGCATCGGACATGCAATCAGAGGGTGAGAGAGCTGTGACTTTTGAGCCTGCAGAAGTCTCAGGTGGGATCTTGTCAATGTGTACAAATACACGATGGCAGGAAGAAAGAAAGTGGAGCCAGGCTGTTCTCAGTGATACGACAAGGGGCAATGAGAAACTGAAACACGGGAAATTTCACTTAAACAAAAGAAAAAAGTTTTTTACTATGAGAGTAGTAAAGCACTAGCACAGCTTGCCCAGAGAGTTTGTGGAGTCTCCATCCTTGGAGATATTCAAAATCCAGCTGGACACAGTCTTGAGCAATCTGCTCCAGCTGACCCTGCTCTGAATAGAGGGGTTGGATAAAATGATCTCCAGAGGTGCCTTCCAACCTCAGTTATTCTGTGATTTTGTGATTCTGTAAATCATCACTTGACAGGATATAGTATTACATTGTTAGGTGCAGCTTAGGCATGTTTCTTTCAACAAATAGGCATCTTTTATTTTAGTGTAATTTATTTTCTTATAATCAAGATATGGTACAAGTTGAAGAAAACTTTAAAAGTCTCCAGGGGTAAATTCCCTAGCCTTTATTAACTGTCAATTCCCTTCAGATATCACAACTGATTTTATAATGGTATTCCAACCCTGGAAGAAATTGTTACAGAAATGCATGGGACAGTGCAAAAAGATCATATTAGGGCCAGAACAAATAATAGGACAGCAATAAAGACAGAAGTGGAAGTTTGAAAGAGCTTTAAAGAGCTGGGTACAAGATGCTTCCATGTAAAGTGACAGGGACAGTAAGAGTGATAAGTTACTAAAAAGCAAAAATAGAAGGCAAAATATCATTTCATGTTCTGTTTTTTCCCCCAAATAAGCAAAGACAGAATTGCCTGGTTTTATACCATCTAATATAGGACAATAAGCTGAGACCCCTAGCCAAGGCCAGTAGTGACTGAGAGCAGAGAGAAGCGCCTCCCAAAGGTGAATCCCCTCACCACCAAACCTTTTTGCAGGGGCCCCATCTCACCCTACAGAGTAGTGAGGGAACTTGGGAGACCGTGTTCACAACTTAATGTGACTTCAGTACCTAAAGTGCAGAAGAAAGACTCTTGGCCAGTCTTTCAAACCAACACGCACCAGAGTTAAAAGCTTCTAGTAACTTCAGGTGACTGGAAACAAAATGAATGATTCATAGTTCTATGAATGCTGTTTTGAGATAATGATTTATCTGAATTATGGTAGGATAAAGACTGAGTATTAACATGTTTCAGGGCACGTATATCTCAAAACTAATCTCAGAACTGGCTTGAGGCACCTCAACAATGTAGGCAAAACTAGGTGGTGGCAAGGGTTAGGATAGGGGAAACTGGGAGTTGGGTCAGACACTGGAGATCTGGCAGCATAGGAAGGCTCAGAGGGCTTCAAGAGACACCTGTATGTGATGAGGTAGGGTTGAGATACATGGATTACTCAGGGAGCTGTGTTGGAGGAACAGAAAAGGCCTGTGTGGATTCTGGGGGCTGGAAGAGCTCAGTGACTTTCCAGGCTGTGAAGCTGGGGAGAGGCCTGGGACAGGATGGGGAGGTTTCAGGAGGCTGTAGAAAGTGTCAGAGAGGTCCAGAAACTTCTTTTTCTCTTCCACTTTTGTCCTTGAAAAATCCCTCATTTACAAGCTAATTGGATTTAAAAGTCTGGAACACCTGCCTCACAGACAGCAGCCAACTCAACCTCCCATATGGAGTTATATAGGAGGGTTACATGCATTGTCCTCCCATACTGAGTGCTGCGGTGTGCGTAGGATGGGGCTGCTCCTGCCATGGGAAAGAGGAAAGGGTGAGGCTGGGGTGGGGGTCAGGGGCAGAACTGGGCTGCTGGCCTTCGAGCAAAGCCTGAGAGATGAGCGGACCAAGATACAACTGCTGTTACAAGAACGAAACAAAGACAGCTGCCGACCACCTATTTGGACTGGTTCTTTGGAGGCAACTGTGCAGCCACCAAGTTCAGTGTGGGTACACAGGGCTGTACAGTCATCCGCTTCCTCTGCCTCTTACAAAGGCTGTTTTACACTGTCCCAGAAGTTTGCCACTCTACGTACCTGCTAATTTTGCTCTTTCCTAAAGCCAGCTGTGCAATAAGCATTTGTAAAACTTAGAAATAGAAGCAATTTAAAAAGAAAATCAGTTGAATAAGAAATATCCTACATCTATTCCTGTGTGTAGCAAAATTTGGTAGATCAACATGCCCAAAACACCAGTGAATCACCCATACAATTGCATGTATGTCAGTTAGGATATTACATGGCCTTCGATGTAAACTACACAACATAATAAATCTTTACATACATCTCTAAGAATGTACGCAGGTTTCAAGACTCTGTTTGATTGACTCTGAATATCTATGCCAGCATTGGCTTAGCTTCTGAATTATTTCTACATTTCCTTAAATAATGTTTCAGAGATATGCATGAGAATAAAGAATTTCACATTTCAGTACAATTCAACTAAGCAGCTTTCATTTCCCTGTCTTCTTGTAGGATGATTCTTTAATGGTCTTGATGAAGGTCATAGCTGGCCTTGCAGAATGGAGGGTATATAGAAGGACTCTATCTTATATTTTCAGACTGCACCCCTTTTCACACTAGTGTTGATCACATATATATGACTAGTATCAATTCGGGCAAACCCTACTTTGTAGTGCTGAAGCCAGCTAAAGAGTCAGGTAAACATATAGAGAAATAATCTTAAAGGCTTGTACTAGTTCTAAAAGTACAGATTTTACTGGTTATACCCAACATCAAACTACTCAAGTCAAGATTAAGATCCCGACAAGGATATATTATCTGCTTGCTTTTCTTAAATCAACAATGAAAACAGTATCTTTTCTTTGAAATGAAGTAATCTCTCTAAATATTTTAATTGCTTTTATTCTTTACTGACCACAGAAAACTGAGAAGAATCCAAATGTAAACAACCTAAGCAGGAAGTTTTCATTTAGAAACATCAGCTGATCAGGTATACATTTTCTGCGTATGTTTTGTGTACTAGCCCTAGTGAGATCACAGAGAACAGACTTTCTCTTAAAATGCTCATTTCAGAACAAAGAATGAAACTTTACATAGTATAGATTAAAGAAAGTATTTTTTTTAATCTCATGGAATTAAATCTAGAAGGTATAAAAACTTTCTGAAACACTTTCCTCTGAAACTTGTCACACTGATACATAAGAGTTTGTTTGATCACGAATGTATACTTTTGAATGGAGATAAAGAGAGTGCTCATCTCTAGTCATCATGTAGTCAATACTCTAAGAAAGCCCTAATCATTTCATCCCATATTTACTGAAACAGTGGCTCTTTTGCAAACCTTTTCCATATTTTTTTGGTAGCAATTCTAGATGCATACAGAATAGTAATAGTAAGACAGCCAAAGTACTGGCAGTATTTCAAGCTGCCACCTGCATTGGTACCATTGTGTCATTTAATTGTACTCACAGAAGCTCCAGTTGCCATTTGATTACAACAAATTGGCCATTGGTATTTCATCTACATTCCCATTTACACTAACTGAATTGGCCTAATGATAGTAACACTAACACATTTACAGAAGTTCATACGAGCTAAAAGAAAATATGGTTAGAAAGCAAGGAACATTTTGTAGTATGTCAAACTGTATTTGTGAAATGAAAATTGTATCTATGATTTTATTTTGGATTTCAGTAGCATAACATTGGAATTTGAGTTTCAAAATTTTCTGTTCCCTCCTTTTTCTTCTCCTTGAGCTCAACAGTTATCTGTTTCCTCACAAGAAATACTACTGCCCTTTCACAATTCTCAATCCCCTGCACAGAGACCTTTCCAAATGTTGTACTTCTCAGAAATCCTTCGTATCTACGTATTTTACTACTCTTTAGGGGAAAAAAAAAGAAGTAAGCCCTTGGGGTTTATATTGTTCCCAATAGGAGGGTATATTCAAGGACACTTTGGAGACATGTCCTAGGAAACTGTTTTAAATGCAAATATTTATGTGAGAGGAAAATGAAGAAATATGATAGAGTTGTACAGATTTCCAAGTACCTGTCAAGAGAAACCACAGGAACCTTGGGACTTACTTCTCTTCTTCTAATAAAAGATGAAATGCTGTAGAAAAATTCACTGCCAACGTCTCCATTTGCTACTTTCACCTATAGATGAGAAAGCAAGATTCAACAGTGAATGAAATAGAATGAAAATAAAATAAAAATGTCTATGCATAGCTGCCAAAGGAAAGGCCTTTTTGGGCTACCAATTCAAATGACTATTTTTAGATTCTCAAGGCTAGTTTAATGCATGTCATTCATTAGCTGAAACATTACACTTCTGTAACACATTTTTCATTTTCTTTATACTATTTGCATACCTCTTTCTAACACACCTAAAGATATCCTTCCCTAGGATATTTGTATCCAGCAGAGCAAGGAAACAGACTAGGTGTAGCAGTACTAGATGTAGCAGTACAAGACATAGTAATAGAATTACAAAACAATACAGCTACAAAACTAATATCACGTGATATTTTCAAAACCTGTTTAGTAATTCTACTTTCTTCCTTGTGTCTGAAATACTATTTTATTTTTCTGACATGCCACAGTATATAAATGCTGCCAAATGACTATTTTCTCTACAATATTAAATAGTTTTTCTTCTTGATTATAAGAAAATTAAGGTTTGAAGACATACTTGCATTTGTTAAATTCATACTTCCATTTGTTAAATTAACTCTGATTTTGTTTAAATAATCAGATGACCTAAATAATCAGTTTACACAGAAAAAGAAAGAAGAGAAAAACATTCTTGGGCAATTCTGTGTTTGCACATACAATCCCAAATGGTTGTGACTCATTTTCATTCTAGCTTTCATTCTCATTGGCAATTGCAGAGTTTTTCATGATATTACTGTATAAAAAAAATACTATTACGTATATAAAAATATTGAAATTTCTCTTAGAGAGTTCCCCTTCCAGGAAGGTTCACCTTCCAGAAAAAGTTTTCATCTGATGCTATAGGAAAGAGAACAGGGGAACATGTCTACAGTACAATGATATGCACATAGATTATAGCTCCGTCTTCAACAGAAACCAGTCTGAATGATAGACTAATGTATTAGGAACTTAGCCAAATCTTTTACCAGAAAAATAATGACATGCAACTTTGAACTAGAGTCCCTCATTTGCCTGAACAAATTGTGTTTGATTCATTAATTGGAGTTAAACAATAGTTGTTCTGGCGAGCTTTCATGTCAGACTGCCACTTTCGCCTTTCGCTGTGTTCCAGCAAGGTTCTTTCATTACTTTTATAATAGTTGTCTCACATATTCTGATCAGAACTCTGTATCATTAAAATAGATGTTTAGATTTAGTCCTTGATATTAAATTCTCTTACCCTTTGTTCTACCCTGTCCACATCACAATATTGCTATTCTATTATCTTCCTTTTATTGCTACCGCGTCAGTTGCTACATTGCTAAAGTATAATCAAAGCAAAAGCATTATAAAAAAAAAGTTTGTTAGTGAATCAATATTTTCTGTTAAAAATGATGCCCTAATATTTACTGTTATGCTTCAATTGGAAATTATTCTATGGCAATCCACATTCTAAAAACATCCTTAATAACACACCATTAATTATATATTCTATGTCTAAATATTTGCCCAATATTTGCTAAGCTTAAAGGAAAATGTTAATGTTCATATGCAGGTGTGCATATGGCTTAGACTCCTAAAAAGTATTCTCAACTTTATTTTTGCAGAGCAGAGAACTAAAGAAAGCTTATGTCAGATTCTCTTCTTAAATTTCCTGAGTTTTCACCAGTGCAAAAATTAAGGTCTAGGAAATTGCACCAGGCTAAATGACAGAATACAGCCCTTATTTTTTATGCTGGGGAATTTAATGAAGTTTTAAGAATACATATAGTGTCATGAATGCAAAGCAAAGTACAGAATACATATGGTGTCATGAATGCAAGACAAATAACAAATCATAGCTTATTAGTGAGTTGAGAAGATACACTGCCTGACGTGGTAACATCAGCAAATCAGCAAGAATATGAAGGCAAAAGGGAAGGGGAGGGAGTCAGAGGAAAAGAAAGAACAGATGGCAGGAGTAACAGTCAGAATAGAATATTTGTTAAGGACAATCAGCAGTATCATTTCATAGAATAGCATAGCAATACTTCTATCACAGTGGTAGTATTACATTCACACTTTTCCAGTCCCCTGTTTCAGTTGTCTTCTAAATCTGTCCTCTTAGAGGTTGACTTTCTGTAGCTTTGGGAGCAAGGGAACTCTCAGAGTCACTCCATCATATCACTGTTTTACTAACGAATGCTACAGTTAAAGTCTGGGAGTGAAATACTGGGATTTTTGCCAATTACTTCAGCAGGGACAGGTTTTCATACCTGAAGCTATGCAGAGTCCTAACCATTGAGACGTGCACAGCCAGACTTCAAAGTGCAGAAAGCTTAGGGAGCCATCCCTTTGCCTGTGTCACTGGGCACCACTGAAAAGAGCCTGGCTCTGTACTCTTTGCACCTTCCCTTTAGGTGTTTATATAGATTATTAAGATCCCCCCTGAGCCTTCTCTTCTCCAGGCTGAGCAGTCCCAGCTCGCTCAGCCTTTCCTCATATGTGAGGTGCTCCAGTCCCTTCATCATCCTTGTGGCCCTTTGTTGGACTCTCTCCGGTATGTCCATGTATCTCTTGTACTAGAGAGTCCAGAACTGGACACAGTACTCCAGGTGTGGCCTCACCAGTGCTGAGTAGAAGGGAAGGATCACCTCCCTCGACCCACACTCCTCCTAGCGCAGCCCAGGATGCCATTAGCCTCCTTTGTGGCAAAGGCACATTGCTGGCTCATGTTCAACCTGATGTCCGTCAGGACCCCCCAGATGCTTTTCTGCCAAGCTGTTTTCCAGCTGGGTGGCCCCCAGCATATATCGCTGCATGGGGCTGTTCTTCCCCAGGTGCAGGACTTTGC